AGAAGTAATTTGATCTTTAAGGATGGATCGTCCTCCCCGAGGGTGAAGTATAAATATGAGGGTTCTAAAATTGTGGGCGTGATTGAAATGTTGGCTGACGATGTAGAGAAGAGCCGTTGACAGGCCAAAAGGTAACTGCAAGACAGACCGTTTTATTTGATATAGTGCACACCAGCTGAAGGCTCCATGTTGCTACTTCTACTGCACCTGTTCCCTAGTATTATCTCAGATCTTAGCATCGAACCTGATATAATTTTGAGTACAGTGACTACACATTCAGTGCTCCCCGCCAATAAGAGGCTACTAGTGTTACTACAACAATTATAACTTCTAATGTTAGTGTTACCAATACGAATAAAAAAGTACAACAGTTTATTCCATTCAATTAGCGTCTGAAAAATTATGGTCGCTATATGAGAATCCTGTTATTATTTTTTGTGGATGTTAACATTATCTGAGATTTTTTGAATTCTTATTTTTCATAATAAACGATATCAGTCACTAAAATACATGCTTTGGTAAAAATAACAGGTGATAACTATAGACTAATAAAAATGAAGCCTTACAATTGAAATTTATTTGTATTTATCAATCATTAGTAATAACAACAGAGTCAAACGATTCTAATCTCAAATGCATAGATAAAAATACATATCTATGAGTTGCTTGTAAGTGTTCAGAGAATATCATAAAGTCATATATATATATATATATATATATATATATATATATATATATATATATATATATATATTATCAATCTAGCATGTTCTCTGCCAAAGCTTTAATAAAAGTGAGATATGTTAGATGGATATTCGTTTCCTATTTGTTCTTTATTTTATCATCCTGTCGAATTCCGTTCCATATTTAATCTGCTTTGGATCTTTAATTCACTCACACACACACACACGCACGCACACACACACACACACACACACACACACACACACATACATATATATATATATATATATATATATATATATATATATAAACTTATTTTAAAAAAGATATATCAGTTAATAAATTCAATACATTTATCTTACCGCTGACGTGTAGATATGTAAATAAAAAATTCTGTCTGAAGATGAATCATTGAACATACTCTCTCTCCCTCTCTTTCCTTCCCTCTCTCTTCTCTCTCTCTCTCTTTCTACATACATATATATATATATATATATATATACGCAAACATACATTCATATATACACACACACACACACGCACGCACGCGCACACACACACACACACACTATATATATATATATATATATACGAAAGGTGCTTAAAAATTCTTGACCGGACCCACTTCCAAACTATGTGTTCTGATGTTTGATCTTTGAAATACTGATTTAGGGAGGTTTGTCGGGCCGAGGACTTTCAGTACTCACTAGTACATTAACTATTTTTAAACTATAAAACAACTGCATTTATCAATATCATATCGAATGCACAAAGTCTGCAGAAAGTGGATTTTCTTTAATTCTAGCCGCTTATATCTGATTTCGAAGATAATGTTTCAAATAACGCTTCCTACGAGAAGCGCCAACCTAATCTCGGCTAACCAGCTACTATTTATTTCTGCATAAATGTATTTTCCAAGTCCATTTAATATCCCTAAATATGCAGATATATTTTAGGGATCCCGGAAGCCGGTGTCTATACGATAATACATTTAAATTTAAGAGTATATTTTTGGTGAATGCATATAAAATATCATGTCTGTCGATTTATCACATGTATGTGAATTCACGTTAATTCTCTACAGGTAACAATCACTATATATATATATATATATATATATATATATATATTGAAAAGTTCCTTATAAATTACAGCCTTACACTATTTGTATGGATGTATTGTTGAATGTTTTAAATATATCTAGTATCATATGTACGTATATATTTTTGACACTATTTATCAGTTTGGTAGAATATTCTTTACAAATATACACAAACACACTCACGCACTTATATATATATATATATATATATATATATATATATATATATATATATATATATATATATATAATTTCGTCTTTAAACGTGCTTAAGAAGGAGTATCTATTAAAAAAATAATTTCCCTTGCAATAAACTTTTTAAATTTCATATACATACTATTTTCCTTTCATGTACCATGCCCCTTCAGACCGTGGGCGATCATGGCTCTCCACAACTTCCTGACCTTTTTGTAATTTTTGTCTACTTAATATCACTGCTAGTCTTTGTTTTGCAACCCATTTGCAAAAACTCGTTAGGTAGATAACTCGACATTTGTCTCAATCCCTGTAAGTGTCAAATTCTCCGAACCCTCTTTTCTCATTATGTTTCCCAGAAATGTCAGCTGTCTTCTTCTGATACAATATAAGTCGTTTTTTTGGTCGCCATTTTCTTTCAAACTTTCTCGTTACTCCCATGCTCCGGCCTTAGTATTCTCAGTGTCCATCTATTTAAGTCTGCTCCTTTTCTATGGGGAAATTATCTAACATTTACTGACAAATAGAACAACTGAAATTCATTACATTTACATATTTTACACATAATATTCATATTTATTAAACTATACGAAACTCATTTTCTTAAATCTATCTATCTATATATCTATATCTATATCTATCTATCTATCTATCTATCTATCTATATATATATATATATATATATATATATATATATAGAGAGAGAGAGAGAGAGAGAGAGAGATCTTTATCTATACAACATTATCTTTAAGTGTAATACCGATTAAGTTGGTCGCACACTAATTGTTCTTGGACAAAATGGAAACAGTAATAGTGACATTAACTGCTTCCATACAGGCAACATTCGGCAATCATTGACCAAACAGACAGCGTTACTGTCGACTTTGATTTTATAGCGCCAGTCTATAAGGTCTAAAGATTTATCTTAAGACCTAAATCTATAAGGAATTTTCTTAAGACGTAAATGATTTATTCACTTGAAGACGTTTTTCATCTTTGATCTGAGAAAACGGTTGTATGTACACATTTTTAAGTCGTTTTGTCTTGCATGGCATCCTTATGAAAGTTTAGATCTAATGAAACCTAGAACATGAATCGAGTTTTCAGGCTAAGATTACCATGATTCTCCCTTTAAATACATTTAAATACATTTAACATCCAAACATTTGATGGTGTAAAACAGTGATCCTCAGCTACCGTACCGCTGCACACTAATGTGCCGCGCGATCCTCTTAAGTGTGCCGCGAAATATTGTCACGGCATACATATAATGGACTCTCCCGTCGGTTTCGACGTATGAGGATCTGACAACTTAATTGATTCAGTTATGAAATTTTGTGCGATAATCTTAAGTGACAGTTAAGATCCGCTAGTGATTTATAAAGGCGGTCGCATATGGAGCAAGAGGGAGGATTGTAGGATGAGATCACTATTAGATTGACTGACCTTTTAGATCTTGCTCTCGCTTCTTGAAGACAATTCAGACAAGCAGATTGAAAACCGCCAAGTCCACTAAAACACATTGATCTCCATTCTACCCACTCAAGGGTGTTATGAGGTATATTGACAGCTGACAAGTTGCTCTTCAGCTTGTGTTTGTATCTTAGCCATGGGCGTCCTGCATTCCTGTAGCCCTGATCTAACTGGTTGTACATCAGAATCTTGGGTATCCTGTCATCAGACATTCTCAAGACATAACCAGTCCACCGTAACTAAGAACAGCATACATATATGTGTGTGTGTGTGTGTGTGTGTGTGTGTGTGTGTGTGTGTGTGTGTGAGAAGTAATGTTACAGCGTTAGTATTTGAATAGATGAATAAGTATTTCAAATAATTCTTTTCACTATTCTTTGATTATGTTAATTTAAATTCTTTGTTTTAATATTCATTTTTAAAAAGAATTTTTATTTTAAAATTTTCCTTTATTTGAATAAATGAATATTAACCTTTTTTCATATAGCGTAATTATCCATGTATAATACGCCTTCATCCATAATATACATCTCTAAAATTGTTCTGAATGTGTGGGAAAATGCTTCTATTCATGCATAATACGCATCCCTTGTTTGGTAATCAAACCTTATAAATTGTATCACTCCAATTTCATTACGGCCAGTGTTTCCTACTCTTATAAAAAAAGGTTTTGAACATAGAATAATATTATTCTAATTTAGTTTTATGATAATTCTTATTTTATTTTACATTTATAAGTATTGTTAGGTATATATGATTGTATTTGACATACTTATGGGGTCGCAATCGCTGAATGTTAGTGTCAAACTGTTGCATGTTTGTGTTGAGTAGTCATTTCGCAACTGAATCGACCTATGAAACGGCAATTTCATATCGGCAATTTCATATCGGCCTATGAAACGGCAAGATTTTTTGTAGCTGTGCATAATACGCACCCCTAATTTTGCTTATTATTTTCTAGAAAAAATGCGTATTATACATTGGTTATTACGGTAACTGCATTCAACATTCTTTGCTTTATTTCATAACATTTAAATGCATCCCTTTTAAAAATTTTGCTACGGTTGCCGTGATGTTTTCATATGCTCCTAGGTGTGCCGTTGCTTTAAAGAGTTGAGAATGACTGGTGTAGAAGATAAAAGTAATTCCGTAAAATATACTCGCTGATAAATATTAAAGACAACGGATAGGATGAAAATATCGATATTCTATTTGTTTCATCTTTATCAGCATGAAATCCGATAAATTATTGAACTAACTCGTTGCCTACGTTCTATATTCTGATAAACTTATTTCCATCCATAAGATTCGTTCACCTTCACTGTTTCAGACCGTAAACACTTCGTTGACTATATCACAATGTCTGTATCTCCAAAAAACGCATTCCTTACGTCTACATGTTTGTGATGAAGGTAGATAATGTTTATTCGTACGGGTATGGGTACCCCTATTACCAATGCAAATATATTGGTTGACTTAAGAAAAAGACACGAATAATTAAAAAAAAATGCCTGTCCGTATTGAGCTCCTCTCTTTCTCTTTTTAGTCAATATTTGCTTGCCATCTCTTTTCCGTCCCCCTCTCTCTTTAGTCCATATTCTCTTTCCATCTCTTTTCTCTCCCCTCTCTCTTTAGTTCATATCCTGTTTCCATCTCTTTTCTCTTTCTCTCTCTCTTTAGTCCATATCCTCTTTCCATCTCTTTTCTCTCCCCTCTCTCTTTACTCCATATCCTCTTTCCGTCTCTTTTCTCTCCCATCTCTATCTTTAGCCCATATCCTCTTTCCATCTCTTTTTCTGTCCCTCCTCTCTCACTTTCTCCCAGTTTTTTTCTATTCTTGTTCTCTTTCCTTCGATGTGTGTGTGTGTTTGTGTGTGTGTGTGTGTTTATCACAAGCCATAGATACTTACCTAACTGTCAGTTTTTCGTTTACACATACAAACAATCGACTGTACATATGACTGAAACAAATAGTTATTTTTGTATAATCTATGCCAGTCTTAAACAGGCGTTACGTAAGTGCCTCAACACCCGGTTCGTAATGAGGCTGATCAATCGATAAAAATTCAGAAAATTCAATATATGTCTCTGCATATATATTATATATCCATCATGTCTCTACGCATATATATTCAATATATTAATTGTAGGCTTAAACATTATCTTTCCTACATGACGCCATGAACATCACTTCTTACCTTTTCTTACGATCATACAACACCACACATTAACCCTCTACCTTGAGTGGCTCTTGAGACTTGTATTGGGTGAGCATTTAGCATAAAAATATCTCTACATATATATTCTTTCTTCCTCTCTCTATATTTCTATATTCTATATATCTATGCATATATATTACATATCTTATATTTCTATGCGTATATATCAAATATTTCTTTGCATAATTATATATTCTCTATTTATCTACATATAAATTACATATTCTGTATGTTTCAGCATGTATATATATATATATATATATAGAGAGAGAGAGAAAGAGAGAGAGAATGTGTATATATAATAATCAATTAATCGAATAAATGATTTAATGTTAATATGGTAATATATACCGTTGTTTACGGGTTGTGAAAGTTCAAGAGCAACTTAAAGCAACAAAAGTTGGGATGTTGTGGAGAGCCATGAACACCCATGTTTTAATATATGTTGAAACCTCAGAGTAGAAACAGATAAATTGAACATTTAATTTTATTTGTTGCTCTCTATTTCTCTCTTTATATATATGTGTGTGTGTGTGTGAGAGAGAGAGAGAGAGAGAGTGTGTGTGTGTGTGTAAGAGGGAGTGAGAAAGACAAAGAGGTTGCCTCAAAATGAGTTACTGATCTACATATCAGTGTAAACTATCAACTATCACTACCATACATTGACTTCATTCTTTACTGAATACCCCATTCTTGTCATACTAAAGTAAGCGCGCGCGCACGCACACACACACACATATATATATATATACATATATATATATATATATATATATATATAACAGGAATTGATTAATTTGCTTTTTACGACTTATCAACCTTGTGTAAGTTAATTAAATATAATATTTTTGGACTGTAAAAATATTTTTTGTATTAATTTTTTGCCAGATAAGAACGATTTTCAGGTACAATTCCTGCCATTTAACCCATAGCTGGGGTATAATAGGTGAATTATTATATTTCCTAAGGTTATTTTCGCGTAAGAAAGTGCAACGAACCAGACTGGAATTCAATCTCGACTTTCTCATTTCTCATTCCGAGCCGTTATCTACTACACCTCGCGCACATCCAGGTTTAAAGTCTCTGATACACCCACCTAGGTACTGACCAGGCTTGAGGTTGCTTACCTTCGATGATCGGACGAGATACGGTGTTTCAACGTCATATAGCCGTAAGCCTTATATGACAGGAAGAGAAAGTGTGACGGGCAGAGTCACAGAAATGCGCGTGTTGAAGCGCCCACCCGTGGATTAAAGATACATTGTCGAGGTTTCGTTCCTAAGCTTATGTATGTTAAAAATATATATTCATTTGTTTGTGTGTGTGTTCATTTTTTTTTCTATCTATCCTGGTAATTGTCTGTGTTGTCCAGTTCTGTATCATATTACATATCGACGTGTTACCAGACCAAGAGCCTCTTGCATGCGAACATTTTTGTTTGCGTGTACAGACCTTAACTCTAAACTGCATAACTATATATGCACTTCTTTGAAGAAATATTATGCGATACGTTTTTCCCTCGTGTGATGACGTGTGTTATTTCGTGAATAGACTTGCAACCCTGACCCTAGCCTCCGCCCCCAAATTACAATAATATTCCTGTTTCGAGAAGACTTTCATATACATTTGCTTCCTTGTAGGTATACCGAGCGATGGAACAAAGCAACAAATGAAAGTTCTTTCATTCTCCACCTTGCTTCGCTTAGTTTCATAGCCTAGAATTTGGAAAGGTTTTATATCATCAATAAGGTAGTGTGCAACCTTACATATATGACTACCAACAGTCCTCTTTCTGTTGCTTGTTAAATGTATGTATGTGTGTGCTTT